AAAGTTTTGAGTCTCGGTTTGAAAAAATCGACGTGACTTTAAAGGACCCCAAATCCGAAGTGAACGTGGACTGTTTGCTGGTGAGTAGGGAGCGCCGATGGGCCCCCGGTCCCGTCTCCCCGAATTTCTTACCCTGTGGGACCGAATCTCGCACTCCCGGCTGAGTCACCACCCTGCTTAACTCCGCACCAGTGTTTTGTTTACTCACTGTCGAGCTGAGGGTGCGTGAATGTCTCTGTGCAGAGAGAGCGACTTTCATGCCAGGGAGGCGCCCGCCCGGTCCTGCCTCAGACTTGTCATCTCTCTCGCTTCATGCACCTTTCTATTCTTCGCCGGCTGTCTTAAGGGGCGGTGGACACTTTGTACAAAGGCGTGATTCGTGAGTGCCAGTCCTGTGTGTGAGCAGGAAACTGTAAATAGCTTGGATATACCAATTCCCTGTTCAACCACTTTTTTTTTTTTAAGAGTGAGGTCCTCTTATGTTGTGGTTAAGCACTGCAGCACTGACTTCAGCCTGTTTAGTGTAGACGTTTGCAAATGCTAACTAATGACGTGTAAAACACAGCTGTAAGATTAATATGCTCTTAGAAGTGGGGAAGTAGTCATGGCAGGGGTTTAAATGCATTTTAAACTAGTTGGTGTGCTAGGCCTGGGATAGAGGGCTGCTTGCTTAATGTTTCCCTGCTTCATCATACCTGATGGTTCAATGGATCTCTCCAGTGCTGTCAGTGTTATAATTGCATCATAAGAAAGCAAACCGTAACACTTCCTGACATAAACCCAACATCATTTGGTAGTTGCTTGACAAAAGTGGAGGATATTTTAGTTCTGATTATAAAAAGTACCTCAAAAAAGTGTATGCCAATTTGTTTGGGATGTAGCTGGGTACTTAGATATGCCTAGAGATGCCCTTAGATATAGCAAATTGTAATTTGTGCTTTTATGCTGAAGTAGAGAATTTCTTTTCTTTGTAGCAAGTGATAAAAGTTCTTTAGTGTATTTTTTTCTGGCTTTCTGTTGTCATAGAGGAGAACAAGTAAATTGCATTTGTTCCTAGTATGAACTCTGACATTTGGGGTTGGGGGGGAAGGGAGGCGTGGGGGTGGAGATAGCTCTTAATAGTCATTCTTCATCTTCTACTGCATGGCTCTTAGCAGAAAGCTCTGTTGAGCATAAGGCAGTGGAGAGGTGAAAAGAAGCTAATGAAAGAATCTGTAAAAGTTCATGATCTTGTGTACTCTGTTTAGCTTATTCCTGATTTGTGAGCTTCTGAAGTGTTGGCAGGTCGAACCTACATCCCTGGATAAAAGTGGAGCCTTTTGGTTGTTGCTGCCAGAAGGGAAAATAGCACTGCTTCTTCCAGTTAACTTGCTTCTTTTGATCTAGTTTACATATCTGTCGTCTTAGAACCACAGCTGATGAGGAGAGCTCTGATGCTTGGGATAGACTGTGTCAATTTTGATAACTCAAGACTACTGTCAAATCTGACATTTTTACACCCAGCTTCTATTGATAGATGTCAAGAGTATAGATCCAATTAAGAGTCCAGAGTTTTATGTTAACCATGACTCAATTTGCTAGTATGTGCTTTAATGCTGGCCATACTATGGGGACCTTCCTCCAGTGATAGTAAGGAGGTTGCAGGTATCAAATATGCAGTTGATAGTATCTTTAACTGTATTCCTTCACCTTTTAATCAGTTTAAGGATTTGCCCTTTTTCAGTTATCTTAATTGCAATTTGGAGCTAAGGTGTAGTCAGTTTGGGAATGAACTTGTTGGGATGCTTCCTGTCATGCTTGTGTAAAGTTTTAGAACATGTGTTAGCATCACAGAACTTAAGAATGTCCTTTAAAGTGACAATTTTTTAGAAATCTTCCTAGATTTTTGGGCATACCTTTGCATACTCTTTTAAAGGCAGCTTCTTATGGTATAGTCATCAGAATGATGTTGTCTTTTTTTTTTTTTTTTTTTGCTAGCCCTAGTTACAGATACTATTCTTTTAAATTAATACCAATTAGAAAAGAAAGCGCTGCTTCTGAAAAAATCAGCTGGTAGGTTAACTTTGTATGTGTTTGATCACTGTATCAATCTCTTTGCTGGCTGGACTTTTACTTTGTTTCATATCTCTTGTCCTGTGTTGGTTTGTTTTTCTATAGAACTTAAGCATCCTAGCACTTTCTGAAGAGTTTAAATATTTTATACCAGTTCTTGGTGTGATGATTCACACTACAAGCATCATTCTTGGCCCAAGGTACTATTTATATATGAAATACATTGTAATCTATGTGGATATGTTTTTAAGGAAGAAATGCTTAGGTGTAGGTGTGATTGATCAGCACTTAAAATATCTTCCAAGACGAATACCCTGTTCCCTTCCCCCCAGTCCCCAGTTAAAGAGGGAAACTTGTCAGTCTCTAGGCTTGGTACACTTGAAAAGAAAATGTTAAATTTTGTGATCAGATTCCATACAAAAAAAAAAAATATTTTTTTATAAAACTTCTTAAATCTAAAACCTTTTTTTCCTTTTATTGAAGTTGTGAATTGATGTTATTTATAGTTGTTTTCACTTTTCCTGAGCAAAGGTGTTAGCTAACTGTGTGTATCTGAGTGGTAATATATGAATAACTGATGCACAGACACTTTAAATTCAGCATCTGATATTCTATACGTGTAGGCTTAAAATGCTGGAGTTCCTTTAGTTTAAGAAATGCATTTTTTTTGGCTGTGTGAAGAAAAGTCTCAGCAATGCCCTTAGCTTCTCTTACTATGTTTTTATCCTCTTTAGCTTTAATTCGTTTTGCTTCTATTCTTACTCTTCTTCCCCATCAGTTTGTAGCCCCTGTAGACTAAAAGGCAGGCATGGAATAACCTTTAAATCAGTTTTGTAACCATTTTGGGTTTTGTAAATGTCATAAGCTAGGTTCTGTATGCTAGAAAGATTCTAAATTTATATGTGAAGTAGTATGAGAACACTAAGAAAAGAAGATGGGGCGGGGGGGCTGCTACAAAGGAAGGCATGTTACCGTTTCAGGAAGGTGTGGGAGAAGAGTCCTGACAACAGAGCAGGCGGAAAAGGCACAGTGAGGACTATATAACTTGAATTTACATGCTGCAGGAAGGAAATTCATAAAGCTGAGGTGCGGGAGAGAGATGCGTTTATTTTTCCCATTTTCTCTTGTGCAACTGTAATAAAAACAGAGTAAGAAAACTAAGTTGCAACTGTCTGTAACTAAATTTGTTTGTTTCTTTGGGGCTTCCATGCACTTGATTTAGTACTAGGCTGGGAAATCATAGATAGGCTGTCTTTTCTGATGAGCCATGAGAAGGCCAAAGTTCTGTGTGAAGCATGTGCCACAGCATAATGTAGTGCTTTTTCTCAAAATATCAGGTACTAGGAGTCCTACAGTCCTAAAAAGATCTAGTAAGACTGTGAAGGCTGCATTAGATAGTCACACTCTAGGGTGTGCAGTGATACTGGTGAATACCATAGGTGTGCTAAGTAGAGCCAAAGGCAATGTAAGTAACTAGCTATTAACTCGAGCTTAGTGTCTCATTAATGATATTAAGCAGTGGAAAGTAGTATTAAATGAGCATACTTCTACAACAATTTTGGAATAAAACCAGATTTCTTATTCCTTTGTTTCTTACTAAATCCTTGGGGTTTATGGGCTTCCAGTTTTTGGAGAGTGGGGGTGTAACAGGTGAATGGATGGGGGACATGTTGACCTGAAACTGCCCATGCTTTTGATTCAAAAATAACTAGTAAATGTTCATGAAAATGCTTTTTGGTGCTCTCTCTGCTCTGATACTAACTCACAAAGAGTCTTTTCATGTTTTATGTAGACACTTGAGTAACTCAATTGTTCAAGTACTTAGTCAATTACTTGAGTAGTTGATTTTTAAAACTTCAGACTTTTGATGGTCTTAATTTTCAAAGATGTCAAATGTTTCACTTGTTCAGCAGTTTGGCTTCAAATTAACTGACAACAGTGAACACTGCATATGACAAACTTGTTTTAGCTAGTCTCAAGCGGCTTCCATTTTTGTTGCACCAAAAATACACAGGTACAGAGTGTGATTCACCTGTTTTTCCTAGGTCTATTTCATATTCAGCTACATGAATTCATGTTCATCTGTCTGGCGTAGGAAAAGGCGAGATGATCTCATCTTCGGGATTTGGAGTTCCAAATCTCTGTTGTCACTAGACCTTCTTTCCCTTCTGCTTAACTTGTTAGAAAGCGCTTCTGAAGACCTTGTCGTTAGGGATTTGGTAAATAAAAAATAAATAAATAAAAATTAAAGAATATAACTCAAAGTACCTTTACTTCAGAAGTTCTTATCTATCAAAATAACTGTCAAAAATCACCTTCACTAAAACCATATTAACTATGCTCCTAGAATCTGAGTGATAAAATGCTAGAGAAGCTTGGTATCCGAGAAGCTTACTCATTTGCTAATGAAGTTCATGCACAGAAAAAGCAGAGTTTGAACATTTGCAGATTGTCAGCTTCAGAATGCTGTAAGTTGTCTGGAGGTAGTTCAAAGTAAGGGGAAATGTCACGATTGACTAAATCTCTTTGGACATGTTTCTGCCATTCTTTAGATCCAAGTGCAAGGTCCTGTGCTTGGGTTGGGGCAATCACCAGTATCAGTATAGACTGGGTGTTGAATGGATTGAGGGCAGCTCTGTGGAGAAGGACTTGGGGATATTAGGAGAGAATATCTGAATATCTCTTTCTTCTGACAGAGAGAGACTTTTTACTAGGGCCTGTAGTAATAGGACAAAGGGCAACAGTTTTAAACTGAGAATAGATTTAGATTGAACATAAGGAGGAAGTTTTTTACTATGAGGGTGGTGAGACACTGGAAGAGGTTGCCCGGAGAGTTTGTGGATGCCTTATCGCTGGAAGTGTTCAAGGTCAGGTTGGGTGGGGCTTTGAGCAACCTGGTCTAGTGACCTTCCTTCTCATGGCCACGGGGGTTGGAATTAGCTGATCTTTAAAGGTCCCTTCCAACCCAAATGATTCTGTGATTCTGTAGTTAGATCTAAAATAAGACTTCTGGCTGCCCTAGAAATAT